CCCACACACGCCGCTCTGGGCAACCAGAACAGAAACGAGAACCTTTGCCAGCGACTAGGAACCCAATATACCTTCTGTCCTTGGAAGGACAAGTGAAACAACTCGTGTGACAGGGGAGGTGGGGAGTCAAGAACAATTCTTTCAACATTCAGTACTCCAAATAAATTCAAGACATTGTGGAAAAGGGAGAGTAAAAGAATACACATACACACACCTCCAAGAACCAGTTACTGCAAGCTAAGCCAGTCTTCATGTGACTGCTTAGGTACTCATTTCTGGTGACTCAGGTAGTAGCACTGTGCGTTAAAGAGGTAACAGGAGTCTCAACCAAAGATGACTTTGCCAAGCAAGTTTCCGTTCTGGATGCCCTCCAAAGGCACGGTGTTCTGCCGATGGATGAATTCATCTGAGCAACAGCTCTGAGTTTTTGCAGCAGAAATCTCTTCAATGAAATACAAAGCTGACCTCAGCTATAGCTTGTGCTGTCATCCAGAGAGAAGCAAGTGCAAACAAGTCTTAAATGTAGCCTGACATTCAATCAAAAAAATGTATCCGGACAGTACCCAGAAGACAGCTTTAAGTCTTCCAGAATACGTTACAGGTAATTTAGAAGAGATTCAATAGCTTTGTTTGAATTGAGACTTAATGCACTGAAGGACAATTCTCTTTACCCAGCACTAGCAATTAAAAATAAAACTCCTGCACCAGAATTAGGACAGTCATACCCACTTGAGCGCAAATTCTCACAGAAACCTCAGTAATTCCTTAGTTCCACTGGCATAAAGTTGTCCATAACCCTTACTTGATGCATACAACTGGAAGTTACACTGTTTTTCCATTTAGGGTGTTCAGCAGTGAACACTGATTCATCACTTGAACCACTTTCTCCATCAAAGCAGCCAAAACTAAGTCAACAAAGGAGGAATGTGCTCCCAGTGTGGAAACTCACTGCTTTAGAAGCCTGGACCTTTCAAATGAAAGCGGGATCCTGAACCTGAGGACAAAGGATTTGCTAACATATGACTTGCTGCTGTTTGTTAGAATACCTCAAATCCAAGGTATTATAGGCAAGAGAATGTCCAACTATGGAGCACTAAAGGGAACTGGATTCAATCCACAAAATCCCTTGCAAGTTCTATTAAGACTACATAGAGATGTTCCCAAACACAGCCCAGCCACAGCTGTTCAAGTGAGATGTTGACTCATTCATGTAGCACACAAGACTTTGCCAGTATGAAGAACATGCAGGGGAGTTTATGCCAGCACCTCTCTAGCAAATCTTTGCTATATACAGGACCAGCTCGAATCTGCACATTCATCACTCCTTGTCCCCCCGGGGTGGGGGTTACCCAAAACCCCAACAATCTCCACGCTACGTGAGAGATACTCAGATTGCTTTATTATTATTATTACCATAGTTGCAGATCTGATCAACCAGGGAAGAGAAACTATATTGTTGTACTCCAAGAAGCTTCTCTACTTAAGAGGTCTTCAACCTTTTTCTCTATTAAATAGCTGCAAACAGTGAGAAGATTTGGTTATCAACTGGCTAAATCTCAAGAAGTGAACTAACAGTCTGCTCTGAGAAATACTGCCATGATCACAAGCGAATGGGGCTGCTGACAGACTTAGAGAACTCGACACTGAAGTGAATTAAAAACATTTCTTGCAAATGGAACTGATAGACTTTATCCCAGAGATCAACTGCTTGAGTCAGTTTTATGACTGAGGGAAGCTGACTGTGAGCATTGCTACAAATCACACCTGAACTGCTGAACTGTCAAGAGACCAAGAGCTGAACTTCCCTGTGTCAGCAGAGCAGCTCTGTCTGTTCACCTCTCCCAAGTTCAAAACCAGCTGACCCTGCTGTTACAAAAGACACTGTACAGGGTTCCAGAGAGGGACAGGGAGGGGGGAAAAAAAGGCCACTGACAGGACAGGCTGCCCTGGAACCACACAGAATATTCAGCCTAAACAACCTACAGAACTCAGTGAGATGGTTTAATATGGATCCGAGACAGAAATACTGATTAGTGAGCACACTGTCCAAACAACCTAAATCATGGAAGTTTCTGGACTTGGAAGAATTAAGATTTCACCACCCTCCACAGGTGTATGTGTTCAATGGTACTTGCACTTTACAGTATACTTTAAGTTTTTAAACCAGTAAATGCACTTGTAGATTGCTATTTCTAGTGCTCTTGTTAAACTGGATGTGGTTACTAAAGGGATATAATTCGATACCATTGAAGCCTTTTAAGCCACTTCAGCGTAGGCTTTGCTAAAGCAGCTACATGAGAATTTAACTAAACTCTGGGGAAAAAAAAGCCAGGTATTTCATTAATCTTCAATGTGACAGCACTTACAAGTCATACAAGTCTCCTGCTTGAGCTTAGCTGTTTTCAGAAAAGCTTCACTAACAAGCAATATTCCCCACAAAAAGGCATGTAGGATTTTAGAAATCTGGAAGCTTTACTTTGGTGAAGAGACCAAGCTAACTATTTTAGGTCCTGGGGAAGTCTTCAGATGTTGGACAAGCACTACTTGAATGCTCTGCTGACATTACAGCTTGATCGATCCAAAGGTCACAAGCCGCCTCTTCATCATGGGGAGGGAAGAAGAGTGAGTCATTCCTCCAAAAGGCTGTTACTCCATGCAAGAGCCAATGAAATTCTGCTAGAAAACCTTCTCTGCAGCTATAGCTGTGGCCTTGTTACCAAAGAACAGTTGATAAGGAACATCAAGAAACAGAAATGGTCTGTGAGGTTCAACTGCAAGACAGCTTCTCTGTACTCATGCTTGTCAGTCAGCTGCCACTCTGCAGTGGCACTAAATCATTACTACAAGGTGGAGGCAGATAATCATTATAATGACCTTTTCTTCACTTAAGGTATAGCACTTGAGAAGTGAGCCAGGAGAGAAGCACATTAATCCTCACAATACCTCACTAGCAAGGCAGTATTTTAAGTGCATTCAACCTGCTTTTCAGGGCACTGCCCATTTACAGATCATCACCTCCTGTTAAGAGCTTCACTTTGAACACCAGCCGTTGTGAAGTGTCTGCATTGTTGCTCAGATGATTTCCTCCTGCTCTAACCACCAGTCTCTCCACACCCTGACACAGGGCTGGGTTCAACAGTGGGAGCTGAACTTCAGTCAGAGCTGCTGTGTTTCAGGAAGCAGCCTAAGCCCGGGTGCTTAATCACCAGGTCTGCACAGAAGGTTGTGGCTGAAGGAACTGGTTTACAGCCCTCAATGTTGTAACACCAGTTGGCTCCGGCAGAACAGGTCGGACTCTCTATGCCACAAAGAATCCAACATTTTAATGGTATTCTATGGAAATTTTTCTTGTTCAAGAAATCCTTTCAGATGGAGTCTTACGAAGACCAGCTACTACAACATTTTTCTGGATGAGTGTTACATTTTTGGATAGCTATTTTGACTAAAGCCACCTGATAACATTTGAATGCAGCCACAATATGTAAAAAACAATGTTTTGATTTATTGTAAACACTTCTGCATTTCTTGGACTTTCAACTCTGCCAGCTTAGCTTAATATATCATCTTATACATATAAAAGTGATAGACGACAAGAACGTACTAAAGAGCAGCAAGTACTAGCAATACCCCAGTACATAACTTAACCCTGGCTGCTCCATTCTCACTTGAACAACCTCATCAGCTTCAGTTTTATCCACAGTTCATCTTGAGGAACCAGTTTCATTACCAGACTGTCTGCAACAGTCACTAGCTGTAGCAGTTTCATTCTAGTGACTTACTAGACTAACACTGGCAGATTTACATCACAAAAAAAAACACTTCTAGAGAGAATGTGTAAAAAAAAAAGTAAATAAAATTCCTATGTGCTGTTTCAGAAGTCAGTTTTCAGTATTTGCACAATTACATCTTGAACATTTCCCAACATTTCCCTTTGAAACCATAACCTAGAAACATTAAAAACAGTCAAGAAACCTGAAGCCCACCCAAGAGCATCCGGACACTTCAGAAAATTGTGACTTGGCAGTCCCCAGCAGCTCAGGCTTACTCCTTGGTTTAGGCAAGGCATTTTGAGCTCACTGGTCCTCTCTTTTAACTCTGGACCAAATGTCTCAATGTAAACCCACTGGAGGAAGCCAGACCATTCACAATTTTCTGTTTCCAGTGTTTGAGGCATACAGAACAGAAGCAAACCCACGGCACTACACCACCTGGAACAGAGTAGAACCCAAAGTCACTAGATCCTTGCCTAGTTAATGAGATTTACCATTTAAGAAGTGTTAGGTCTAGGATTTTGGATTGTATTATATATTTATATATATATAAATATATATATATGTGTATATATATAAAATAAAGATGTCACATTCCCAACACCAAGTCAGTTTCTTGTTTTTGGAAAGTGGTTAATGCGGGAGCAAAAGATGCAGTGGTTAAAATGACCCAACATCCCCAGAAGAAATGATATGAAGAACAAGGACATTTTGGTATAAAGTTAGTAGTCAAATTCTCCAAGGACGTCTTTTGGTTTTGCTTTTTCAATGAACAGCCAAATACGTTTTTTTTAACCACCTCCTTGATCTAACACTTAAATTGCCAACATTGTCCAAATTAGTGTAATTTTTTTTTCCTGTAACGTCACTTGGTTCTTGGCTACTAACCTTTCATGTTACTCTTGGATTTGTCAGTTTGCTTGCCTGTGGGGGTTTGGGCCTGCTGCCCCTGCCCACTGGAAGAGGCTGCCTGCTGTGCTGCTTTCTGCTTTAGCATTGTCCAGTCGAATGTGTAGTCATATTGGTGGTTCAAGGTCCTAGAAAGAGAGTGAAATACTTTACTGTAACATGTCATAGCTTCCTTATTGCTAATACCAGCCCTTTGCTGAAACCCTACAACTACAGGTAAGCTTAAAAGCTTTTGTAACTTAAAAGAATTCTTGAAGCAAGCCCAAATACCATCGAGCAGTGTTTTCTTCACTGTTTACAGAAAGATCTGCATTTGTAGAAGCAGCACTTCCTCACAACCCAGCTTACCTATTTGCCTGCACTGAGGTGGTCAGCTTTTCTTTCTTTTAATATACAGTTCTAAGGAGAGACTGCAAGATGACTGTATAAAAATTGCTTCGGATTCCAAAAGCCTGGAGGGGTACTCTTGGGAGATCAGTACCAGCTCTTCTTTTGACAGATACTGTTCATTCCACAAGGTTGAGTTTATGTTCTGGTTTCTTCATCAAGCTCAGCCAAACAGCACTATTCCCCTCCACTGAAATCCATCCTCTGAGCACTGTTAATCCCATCACCAATCTCCAAACGTAAGTTTCAAACACATCTATTGAGGTGTCCATTTCTTAAGCTACTTGCAACAGAACCTGAAGGCTCAAGCCTCTACCATTAGTGGTCAGCTTATGCAATGCAAACCCAAGAGAATCTTTTCCTTCATGTTTATTACTTAAAGGACCTGAAAAATATTATTCAATAGTTTTTTAAACTCTGAAATGAAAATAAGTCCCAGAAGTACTCCCTTACACCTCACACATACAAAGCAGCTTTTTGCAGTGCAAGTCCCACACAGCAGTTACCAACTGGTAAAGCACTGACAAATATTCCTGTACTTTTCCACTTTGAGACTGACCTGAAAAGAATACGGAATAATTGCCTCAGATACATGTAATCTGGTGCCTCTTCAAAGCGCAGGCCACGACAGTAGTTCAGATACATGGCAAATTCTGCAGGGAATCCCTGTAAATCAATAGTGTTAATCAAGCCATGGCTTGCAGCAAAAAGCTTCTAACAACCCTGTATGGTGGCAAAAAGCTGTATTTCTGTCTATAATGGCAGATAAAAACTGGCTGAAGATTCATAAGTGTGAATTCCACTCTGCCTCTAGTTATTCATTTATACTGTATTTCAGAAAGTGGATTTGATCAGCAAGTCCCCAGGTACACATCCCTTCCCCAGAATTGTTACCTGATGCATGTTTCACAATCACAAGTTCTCTGCCACCAAAACCTTTAACACTACATATTTAAAGCACTTTATTCACCCTAGTTAAAACTAGTTCTCATTAACTAGGTCTCTGAAATAAGTAACTGTCTCTTAAAAGATTCCATTCCTCGTTTCCTTGACAGTCTACAACATACTAGAGGCAAGGTCAGTTACCACTCATAAGTGTGAAGACTTGAACTATGAAAACTTCTTTCGGAAATTCTCTGCTTTATGTATCTGTACATTTAATGCTATACTAAAGCCTACATGTGAACAGGTAACAGCATACAGCACAGTGCTGTACTGCAAGAAGGAAAACACAGAGTGTAGCAGTTCAGCACTCTGGAAGATGCTGTCAGACTGTAAGGGTATATAAATGTGCATGACTAGAAAGTGCAATCATTGCTGCTGCTGTTCCATGTGCAAAAACTACCACATGTTCTCAAGGACCTTTGCTAACAAGTAGGTGGCTGCCACAGTTCAAGACCCAAAAGTATACTTTGGGTCTTAAGATTTTTCTTGAACTGTGGCAACACTGGAAAAATGTTCTGCGCCAAGGTTCTAAAGGTCACTTAGGGTTAGAATTATTACTGGAAATAAAGAACACAATATGAACAATCTTGACGAGGCAGAACCAAGTATGTATGAGCAAGCTATACAGCTCTATCTTGGTTTGTTTTTTATCCAAGAGGGCACATGGAGAGCTTTCACTGTAGAAGCTTAAGAAAGGAGCAAGCCTCACCCAAGATTGCTGGAGAGCTTGCACAGCTGACAGTTACCAAGATCTGGAATGATGGTGGCATGAATGATGCCAAGAAACAGCAGCAACTGCCTGCCCTGTTACACACATTCACAGTCTTGCTGGGTGGCCAAACGCAAGGCACTCATGACTGCCAGAGAAGTATTATTCAGCAGCAAATACCATGTGAAACTACCCAATACATTGGCTCTAGTTAAAAACAACACACCAAAACCACCACCCTCCCCCTGCCTAAAGAAAGCAAAGAAGTTCCACTTCACAGTCTGACATCATTTGGAAACTCTTACCTTACACAAAACCTCAACAGGAGTGGACATTTTCTTTTCACTAATCTTTTCATACTTTTGCTTCTTTGTCGCAGCCTATGGAACATGTAGGTCACAACGTAAGAGATATTGTGCAACACTGGATTAACAAGGACAGTAGCAAAAAAAAAAAAAATTACAAAAATCCTTTGGTCAACCATAAGTATTTTATGTGAAATCTCCAAGTCCCACACACTTACTGCAAAGAGAATGAAGGTCAATCTGGTATTAAGATTTGGACACAGTTTAATACCATTTGTCGCAGTCTAATGCTTTCATCACATGGCACAGCTCGTGTAGTTCTAGCTGCTGCTTTTGTCCATTAAACAGACCAGACTTACATTTCCATTTGCCAAAGTTCTATTAATTCCCACTCAGTACCCCATTCAAGGGCTGCCTGCGTGTTAGAGCAAGCAGCCATTACGTTCATCTGCAGCTGAAGAGTTCCAGTGTTACACAAGCTGCTTGCCTGTTCAGAGAACTTGCAGCTGCAACACCATTTGAGTTACACAAGTCTCACATGGAGGAAGAGTAATTATTAAAACATGAAAACAAATCACTGAAGTCCAGAGAACAAAAGTATTTGCCATGCTTTTACCTGGCTACCATACATGAGAATACTTGAAACAAGTCTGTTGCAGCTATTCGGTTGTGCCATAAACTGGACTGAAGGTATCACTAAAGCTAAACTTCCCAGGTAAAAGATTATTTCCATGCTCTCCACTAACAATGTAATTTTCTACTTCCCAAGAAGGGCCTCAGCCTAAACAGGACAATAATAATTTGCAAAGATGACGTAAGCTATTGTTTAACATAAGTTTTCAGACAGTCAGACAATACATATTTTGCCTGCAGCACGAGAAGCAGAAAGAACCTTTCTTCTACATTCTATAAATATCTTGCCTTGGGAAAAGCCACTTTGTGTAACAGAAGCTAAACATTACATAAAAACCACCTCTCCAGAGCAGCAGGGAAAAGCACCATACCCAAACACAAAAAAGAAGAGCATAAGAGGAGTGTGGAGGGACAGGAAGGCAATTTAACCTACCTTTAATCCTTGCCAAGGCAGACTGGTTCTGTTAAAGTACATCAATACATAGCCTAGAGACTCCATGTCATCCCGACGACTGGAGGAAGAGATAGAAAACATCAATTTACACATTTTGACATTTCACACTTTATTCCAAATAATGCAAGTATTATTCGTTTTTATTTAACTAGAGAATAATTAAGGAATAAAACCTAAGCTTTGGTGCAAAGGAAGGTCTCTAACAGTTAAGACATCTAGGTATTCAGGATTCCACTGGCAGGCATTTAAGTCTTCACAAGCAAGAGCTCCTATTCATTTTCCAAGTAAGGACCAATCAGTAGGTATTGTGTGTGGTAAGTTTCCATCTGTAGTTACATTAGAATAATTTGGGAAACAAAAAACTTCAGAAAATAAGAATAAAACATTGAATGTCTTTCCCATTTAATTTAGTGGCTTGGATAGAAGCTGAGGTTTACCTGTAGGAACCACTGAATGCATTGTACAAGATACATGGTGTTAGCTTTAACTTCATTAAGTTTTTCCCTGAACCTTGCCTCAGTCTGGGACCAATACTGAACATCCAGCCCCAAAAGGCTCCTTCTTTCTCCACTCTTTGCGAGTTTTAAGACAAGCAATATTTAGAAAGGTGTATGCATCAGTCTGAGAGTTGCCTCTGCTTTCTTCCCACAGAAGTCTGTTTCAAGGCAGCTACAGATTTCCATTCATAGACTTCACTGAGAATTTGCATGCAAACTCTCACCTAAAAGGCTTCAAGTGTTTTCTGCAGTGGATATGCTCCAGATCCATGCTTCAGCCACATGAACACCATTAAGCTACATGGCTTTCAAGGTTACTAGGCCTAGTACAGTTCACTGAAGTAGAAAAAACACTCCATGTTTTCTATTTTTTTTTCCTCTTGGCAAAGTTGCCTCTTCCCAGCTGTGGCAGAATCAGGTTTTTCCCGACTGCCTCTCTGCAGCTGGTATCTATTTAACATGAGACACAAAAACAACTGGTCTTTCTCCACCCAGCCCTCTTATCAAGAGAGCTGGACAGATACTGTTGCTACTTCGCCACCCAGGCACGTCTAAAAGAAAAGCATTTAAATGGTGGCAGGAAATTCTATACACTTACTACCTGCACAAGGGCACAAAAAACTGACGGCAGTGTTACAAACAGTATTACAGGAGCGGGTGAGGGTAAAGCAGCTTTTAAGTGGAAACAACCTGTAAGAACCCAGTCAGATCTACCTCCAGATCCCGGTATGAGAGGAAAGAAATTGTAGGCAATGCTTTATGTTACAGCCAACTCAATATAAGCACTACTAATCACTAGAATGGCCAACCTGTCACCCTCTCAACTCATGTTCCAGCTCCCTGACCCTTTGGGGATCCAGTTCAGCTATCCCAGAAGAAAAAATCAACTTGGCTCCCTAAACCAGCTCACCACAAGGCTAAAAGCCCACTAGCTGTTCCCAGGGGTGAGGCAAGAGAGAAAACTGGTTCTCTCCTCTTGACAGCAGCTAGCTCTGAGGTCATCTCAGCTGAAACATGAAGCCACAGCCGAAGACAGAGGGATGAAAAAGGATACTAAGACCACAAGCTCCAACCTGCAAAACTTGCTAATTCTGTTAGAACTGCAGATTTTAATCATCAACAGGATTCAGTGAACCAGTACAGGGTCATGCTATAAAGTCACATTTTCCGAGAAGGCAGTGGTAAATTCAGAAGCAATAAAGGGATTAATAGTTTCCATCCCCCGTCCAGTTCATTGCTTTAATGTTTAAGTCCCTGATTTTGTAGTAGGAAACATTTAGTTCTGTAAATCTGTAATGGATATATTACACTTGAGCATACAAAGTGATTTTCAGGACAACACTCCATCACTAAACCAAAAAAGGGATAACATTGTAAACAGCTCCTTGAGAATAAGAAACATGTTTTGTAGCAGTTCAAGTACAGCAGCAACAGTTGAAATATTCTGCCATAAGCTTCAGGGCTGGTTTTTCTTTATTACAGGAATATGTTATTTGTTTGCCTCACCACTGGCTTCATCTAGACAATGTAATAGCTTTTAGCATGCACCAAGCTACATTTTAGAATTCCCAGTACCAGTAGAGATGGTACAAGACCTCCAACTAAATTCAAAAGCATAGTCCTTTGCAGTTCCTCCCCTTCACACAACTATTCCCTTACAAGAACAGCTTGAGTCTATGCAATGTACTGACTTCAGACATGACAAATGTTGTTTACCTTACCTGCCCCATGTCAAATGGGCTTAAATAATGATACTGACAGATAATAAAATAACACTTAAGGAAACTTAAGGAAATTAAAGCAAAAAGGAAACATGAGGCATTTTAAAAGCACCATGTGTTTGTTAAGTTACATGTTGTGTTGAACTTGACCACTAGAAATTCAGTCATTCTCATCTTGATTAAACTGAAGGACAGAGGCACAGACATTCATGGCAGTTTTAACTATGTCTGAGTGACCTCAGCATCACGTGGCAAAGCCACACTATTACTTTTGTACAATATCTAGGCATACAGGTAAGGAAGAAAGGCATCACTTCATGTCTTACAAGTACCTAACTATACTTCCAACCAACCTGAATTGCTATCCCCACCGGACTGCTGCTAGGGCATTGTAGTAGCAATATAGTTTTGATCCACATGATTAGAGTGTGTTTGTTGATTAAGCAAAGCTCAAGCATATAAATATATATGCACACACAAGAGCCACTATGGCTGTGTATACCAGAAGCTAAAATACAATGCGAGTGAAGTAGAAGATCTTAAAGACTTGCTTGCAGGCAGAAGGACAAACAATAGTTTACTAACTTGAAGGGAGAGTGAAAAAACAGGATACAAACATCAGCTTTAGAATACTTTTTCTGGCTACAGAGCTGCATCTCAAGCCAGTCAGCAGTGGCATGAACAGGTACCAACACAAACAGGGAAGAGCACCACTTTATTTGCGAGGGTCCTCTGACAGATCCACAAGAAAGTATAGCATATCCTTTAAAAAAAGGAGAACAGTATGCAGAACATCCACCTCATGCCTGCAAGACTTAGAGTCTCTTCAAGAAGAGAATAAGGTGTTTGGATTTTTTTGCCCTACCCTTACACAGCCAGGCAAAAAGAAAAGCACTTGCAAAGGGATATATACACTTCTTCATATAACATTATTTCAGACACTTCAGAAGCTTACAAATACGATCATCTTACAGCCTTCAAAAGCACAGCAGTAATCTCCTTGAACTCACCTCTGCTCAATGCCAAGATGTGCATTGATACTGGCATATCGAGCTGTGCCAGTGAGATTTTTGTCTTCTCTGTATGGTATGTGTTGCCTTGTCCTGTTGTCCCGGTACTTTTTGGCCAAACCAAAGTCAATAAGGAATAACTTAAAGAAAAATGAGAATAGATTATATTCCTATACAATGCAAAGAATCCCCAACCTATTTCACTAGGCACTAACTACATTTTAAGACATCCACACAATGTAACAGCCTACAGTTACAGAGGAAGCAAAGTAACAGTGCAGAGTCGCAACTAGCTTTAACTAGCCAGTTAAAACAACTTCACACTGAATTAGTTCAAGCTCTTTCTCAATCCAGTGGGATAGATTAGATTGTGATACTCAGCATCTGTAGCTTAGATCTACACGTATTTGAAGTTACTACTGTAGTTTCTATAACATTAGCTCAATAACTATAGTGCACAATTTAGGAAGGAAACTAGTATGTGCAAAAGCACACTTCACAAAACCCCACTCACACTAGAGCAGTTTACACATACAGAGAGTTAATGGCAGTTTAGCAGCTTAATGCAAATGATGCACATCCTGTATTCTTCTCTAGGTCTCAAAGAGCACTGGCCATTCTGCAGAGTACAAGGCCAAAACCTTCAATAGCAAACAAGACATCTTGCTTTCAATCATATGCTCATTTTAAGACTACCAGAACACTATCATAGCAGCATGATGCACTTGCTGATGATATTAATACAGGCAGGAAGCTAGAGCCTAGTATCTGGAATCCAATTTAAGCCTCTAATAACCAAGCTTGCCCAATGGTTTGATATTTAGCAACAACTGAGTGCGTTATTAGTGTGTAACAGCCAGCCTACCTACAAAGGTTAATGCAGACTGTACCTTCTTGTGACAAGATTTCAGGACTAGGCAAAAAAACCTGAGGCAGAAGTATGTAAAGAACACTTCAAATTCTAGCAATCAGTCTTCAAGCTACACATGATCAGGCTGAGCTCCCAATTCCAACACTGGATTAATGGCTACAGGATCAGGGACTAAAACCCCTACAGATTAATGAATGCTGAAAAAGTAACAGGTGGGGGAAGGTTGGATGGAAAGAGGACATAAGGGTCAAGAAATTCCCAGTAAAAACTTGATCAGTATCATTGTAAAGGTGATTCCAGAACAGAAGAGACAGCTTTACATGCAGACAAGTACTGGAGATTGATATGCAGGTACACCTGCGTCCAAAAGTGGAACAAAGGATCACTCTGGCACACCAAAATGCTATGAATTATGAAGTGACACTCAACACATATCAAAGACACTGAAAGTTTCTGAATTGCATGGAAGGTACATCCTAGAATTCTGGTTGAAGATTTTCTAACTATAATAGCCTAGACAAGAGAAACAAAGCTAAAAACCTTTTAAACCACCAGTGTCAGAGCAGAAAACCTTGAGTTGAAGTCTTGCCGTGATTTATACGCAGTCACAAAGCACAGCAGTTCTACATTTGCTGTTCTGGTGAAAGTCACCCTGAATGCCCAGAATGCTTAGAGTAAGAGCATGTAAATCCAAGTTTTTCCATCAACTACACTGGTCAGACAGTTCAAGAAACTGGGGAGCTTGTCTCTGTTGCACTTGCACAGCTACCATTAGAGGCAGTTATTGACTCAAGGAGCATGGATGGACATGTTCTCCAGCTACCAGGAAATGAGCTAAGTTGATACTGAACTCCTAAAGCAGACAGTATAAAGCTCCTATGTGAGTACTATACTGCAAATGCAACTCTCCTAGAAGCAAGCGCTGAGCTCAAATGCAATCCCTTATTTTCTGATTAAGGCTTTCTAACTTGATGGCAGCCTCTGATGTATGCTTGCAACAGTTACTTTTGCAGGGCCTTTACCCCTTAGTTTAAGCAAAATACTGTGCCTTGAGGATGGAAAACCAAATGCTATATGCACATCAGTCAGAATATTCTCACTGCACATTTAGTTACAAACTCTTTAAACAATTCAAAGCCTTCATGTGCTTTCTGTCATCCTGGTGATCTTGCAGTTAATTGTATGAAGCAATAAAGTCACAGTTCGTGAATCAAAATAGTTAACACTGGAAGTGTGCCTCATACAAAAATAACTGGTGTCCAGTCCTGTTTAGCACAGTGATGGTAAGACTACTTCCTTCATATGACTTAAAAATGATGCTCTGCCTCTTCTGCAGCTTCTATGAGCTCTCAATATTAGACCTGAACAAGGTGATTCTGCATTCTCTCA